ATTAATATTTATGCGCAGTGGCGTAGCAGCTTGTATAAATATTGTAATAGAATGTCGAGTTCGCAAATTTCCCGTGTTCATATAACGCATAAAAAAAATTAAAATATAACAAAACTGTATCAACATTTTGTTTTGACTGCAATATTTTATATTGTTATATACTGTTGCAAAACTGTTAACGCGACACGATCCTGCGCCGAACGGTTATCGTACATTATGTGACCATAAGCACAAAATATACTATCCAATGCCATTACTGCAGTCTACAATAATTATTATTGACGTGTACAGCCGGGTTGCGATTCCAGTGAAAAAACTGAGGGTGCTGAAGTCACCTATTTGTGTAGTGATATTAGACTATGTATTAGACTAATGATTATGGACTATTAATTAATTATAATAATATGTTATAATAATTGGTATCATTGTACTGAACAATAATTTATTAATATAACGCATATAAGAACTAAAATGAATCATATAAATTGCTTGAATTATAAGGGTGCTAATTTTAAAACCGGAGGTGCTAACCACTCGAGACTCGCCCTCCCGAATTTCGCTTATAGCGCTAGATGTCATGGACAAAAATATGAGTATAATATTATGTAGATCAAAAGATGACGGTAAAAAACCTTCGATGATACATTACAAGGTATAAAAAAAAGGTAGTAATAGTAATATACTTATATTGGTATCTATGCCACGAAAAAGAAAAATAAGAAAACTACCTAATTGATATTATAATATAGGTTAGGTGGTCGGAATTGAATATTATCTAAATCTAATCTACGACGGATTTCACTCAGCCGGAACCTTAGAATAAGGATTCTATAGAAATATGTATAAACACATGCAACACACTACACAGTATGTTATTATTATATATTTTAATACACTGCAGTTTCACGTCAGTCGAGTAAATTATAAAATAATAATATTATAATTGCGTCCTCGTGCCACCGTTCACGGTGAATCGATTAATTTTTTTATAGTATAGTCGCTCTATAGGTGTTAGGTACCTGTTTATGTTAAATGTTAATATACCTGTTATATAAATGCGCAGTTATTATAATATATTTATATGTAGTTACTTAGATTGCTAGATATAATGTATATAATCATATTATGATGATATTCTATAATCTATATATCACACACCGTCGTGATAGATCCCCTTAAAATTTCGGACCAAAACCTATTATCACAAAAAAGCAAAAACTAAAAAGTTAAAAAACATTATTTTAATCGTGGGCACAAAATATCTTTCCATCTTCCGCGTATAAACGACACAGTGCAAGAGCAAAAATGAAGAAAAGAGCTATGTACTAAATAACTTATATTTGCATGGTGGCAACACAAATTTGATTTGTAATTTATGCCAAAATGTATCCTCTAATAAATTTGGAGTTTGAGGTACAATATGAAAATGACTACTATTTTTATTGAGTTAAGGCTTCAACATCTATGGTCATTAGCCTGAAGGTTATTTTAGTAGATTTTGAACTGTGGGGGAGGGTACAGTTGGTTAGAACACGTGAAACCCTGGTGGTCACCCATCCGGGAACTGATAACACCGTCGGATGCTTGACTTCAGAACACGTTTGTGACTGAAGCCAACCACTACACCACACCACACCACACCACACCATATTACTACTATTGTACGATTATAGATTAACAATAATAGTTTGCTTGCTTTTTTTACCTTTACAACCTATTTCATTTTTGTGTGAAATAAAATAAATAATACAAATGCATGCTTATTTTGAACTTAAAAATACTAATATCATGAGTAAGTTATGATTTACATTTTATTTTATACGGGTTTATCCCAAAGTTACAGTAATAATATGTCTATAAGCCACATGCAAGCGACAAGTCTGTAGAAGTAAAATGGAACCAGGTATCCTAGATAAATTAAAAAGAATATATTTTATCATATATAATGAGTATATAATTTAATTTTTAAATTGGAAAGGTACATTCTTTTTGTATTTTCTTTGAGAAATTGTGTTCATTCTATAATCATGTTTTTGTTATTTTCACACTACGATCAAGTAAATAAATGTTTTATTCTCATCGTCATAATAAATAATAGTTATTAGAGAAATACGCGTAGGTAAATAAGTTTTGTGCACTACGTTGGGAAACTTCAAACTGCCAAATAAAGTTTAGGCGCCTCTTAGCTATTTACGGTATTTTATCATCTGTATATAAAATTGTGTTGTTATTAATAATATTATAGTGTCATTAGATATGGAGTCATCACAAACCTAAATATGCTGCAGCAATTGCCGATTAGCCGCAGATTTCCATTCGTCCGCCGAAACCGATGTTTTCTTTGAGGCTGAATGAGCATGCTGAATTGAGCGAAGATAAAAAAAAAAATACGTCTGAGAAGTGTCATATCGGACCATATTAGTCAACCGCTATTGCGAGTTTTCAAAATAATATGTCGTTTTCGTTCGATTCTCCTCTGGTGTACAATAATAATTATTGTCGTAATTTCGAGCTATCACCGCTTATTATAATAATAATACATCCCACTGGCCACTTATACACCATAATATTATTATTATAATACGCTTTGGTAAGCAGTTTTGAATACGAGAAACGATCGTCGTGACTAGACATAAAATAAAATATAAAAATGTATAATACAATATTGTTTATTATAATGTACGATCGCTGCGGCATGTTTGTTTACACGACTGCGGCTCGGCGATCGTCGTACCCAATAATCGTCATCGTCATCCTCGTGGCGGACTGTGGGGACACAGTGGTAGATAATATTGTATTATTTAAATCTGGGTTCTATCAAGTCTGCTCAACGCGTAGGCGCTGTTAGACCTTTGTGGGCGTTGAATAGTAAAATATACTGATCAACACAGACGGAGACATTATGAATAAGATACGTCAAACTCCCGGAGGACAACATCAAAGTTATATTGTCAAAGGGAAACAAGCAGTCTGTGTTCATAATCTCGAATGCGGACAACGGTAAAACACAATTGTCGAATGTAGGATAATGTGTTTAGGTTTAAAAAATATTTTAAAAAAAAACTCTAAGGTTTTGGGGACGGTGAAGTCTTTCTGTAAAGTGGCGCCTAAAAATTTCACCTAAAAACGACAAAAATAAAACACATGTGGAACACGACCTAATCATGATAATCATCGTTATTATAATATTATATTATTTTGTAAATGATTGTCATAGATAATAAAGAAATGGATCGGCCATCAGACTCTTTTTCGGTTTTCCAAGACTGATAGGAAAGTGAGGCGATTTGTATTATACAATTTGTAATATTATATATATATTCGGTAATCAGTATAAATATATTATGTATAACGAGTAAGTGATAATTCGCCTCAGTTTTCCTCCCCTTTCACGCCCCTCCGGGAACACGACCTCACTTGAGATAAGCATTGCCGTGTCCTATCAATTTCTTTATTATCTATGATCGTTGTACGGATACGTTATGCACAGATTTCTATATATATTTCTATAGTATAGAAGTCTGTGACGTTATGCGGTTATCGTTATTATTTTAAGTTGAAAACGTTCGTGATAATTCGCCCGCACCTCGATAGTATATAGTAATATTATCTTATTTTATAATGATACAATCACGGATTCAATAGTTTTATACACATATACCTATTATTTTTTTATAGTATTATTACACACACAAGTTGACGAAAACAATATTATGTTCTGATATTAATTATTGCCACTCGAATCGCATAATATTCGTATCCCAGTCGTTCCAATACATGCATTTACGCAGTTATATTATATATACGACGTGTGTACCTACTATCACTACTCAACTGCATTGCGTGTATTCATATTTTATTAGAACATCAACATCGTGCAAGTCTGTACAACGACGATATCGAAACAGAAATAATCGGAACAGCTTATCACGAAACGTGATGTGTGTAACCATGTCAGCAATTATTATAATAATATACATAATTGTTGTAAAGAACAAAACATATTATGAATAACCATTAAACATATTTTTATGACGCACGTGTACATAATATAGTGTAATAATAGAATATAATGAATAAATATATATTTCGATCAAAATCAATATTGTCATGTTTTCTTTATGATATAATTCTTTCTTTAATTTCGTTCAACTAAAATATATTATAATCAAATCATTCAAATCGATGTACTTAAAATATATTAGAAAAAAAAATAATAATAATAGTGAGACGTACAGAGTTTTACATATATTATATACAAGTCATTATCATCATGAGTATAAAGTCCATTTTATATTATAACCGTACAAATAATAATAATATTATATACGTATAACCTACACGCATATAATTTTTAATAAACTATAAATATATAATATGTGTAATGACGACGACCTTCGAAGCGGGTACCTGTGTGCACCTCCGATCGGTCGTCAATTACTGAAATTAAGTACACGAATGATACACATTTAGGTAATTGCAATTATTATTTTATTTTATTATTTTTTTTTCTCCGACATTGACTTTTTATCGGTTTAATATTTGGATCAAACTCGAGTATTCGGGAGGAATTATAAACGTACAAAAAAAAAAAACAAAAATTGAAAACTGGCGGTATCGTGAAACCGCGACATTACAAATAATATTATATTAAGTTATAACTTTGTAAGTATATAATATAAAATTGTCACTATAGGATTACAGCAAGGAATGATGGGTGGGGGGACGGGGAGTGACAGTAAAAAATATGGGTTGATCACAGGAGTGGTGGGGGGTGGGGGACCGGGGGTTTGGGTGGGGTGGGGTAAAAGGGAAAAACGTACACGCACATTCACACGACTGGTTTTTTGCGAAAATTAAGGGACGCCTAACACAGAACTCGACAAGACCTTTGCAGGACCTCGATAGTGATACGTTTAGTGATCATAATAATATTATATTAAATTAATAATTTTAAACGGTTGTCGTGCGCGTGGCGGCGTTGATGGCAGTGGCGTCGATCAGATGATTGCCTTGCCCAGTGGCGCCGTGTCGTCGTCGTCGCTATCCTGCGAACCTGGTTCCTTGCGGAGTCCGGTGGCAAAACTGTGCAACAGGTCCCTGAAGACGATGCCGTCCATGTTGCCGGACAGGTAGTACATGAACAGCCAGTCGGAGTAAGTGGTCTGCCTGGCGATGACGGCCAGGTCAACGGGGTCGAGGCGGGCACCAGGGGACGCCTCGCGCAGCAGAATCCGGTTGAAAGACTCACGTGAGTGGAGCATGTACTGAGCGACGCGCCAAAGGAGCGCGGATACGCTGACGGGCAGAAGGATGAGTACGAACCAGAACCACAGGACGGCGTAGATCTTCTCGTTGATGATGTTGAGCGCCATCACGCACATGGCGTCATGCGTCTGCATGGTGCCGGACGGCCCGAACTTGTGGAAGTCGCACTTGGTCATCTTGGGAAACACCCGGTCGAACAACCTGTTGTCGTCGTCGTCGAACGCGTGCAGCCCATACCCGTAGAACTGGCCACCAAGGAACTTGTCCATGATCTTCATCTGGAGCAAGACGTTGACCAGGTTAAGCACCTCGCACCCGATGAGCACCGCGGCCCAGTTGCGGTTCAACCGGAACCGGGTGACCGTGTCCAGGTGGTTCATGACGTCGCGCATCTTCGACCACCTGGTTGCCTCGGACGGTATGTTCCTGTTACCGGGCACTGATACGTCCTTGTCACCTTCCACCCTAAGGTACAACCGCTGCAGCCCGTTGACGAGCAGCGCGATGGTGCCCGATTCGTACGTGCGCCATATGAGATGCGGCAAATAGAACAGCAAGGCCTGACCGAACAGCACGAACGGCACCCACTGGTAGTACGAGTGGCGGACGGTGCGAGAGTCCCAGTGCACGGGGCCGACGCCCGGGTGCGCCGAGTGGTTGGTGTCGGGCACCGTGTACGTGGCGGTAAAGAAGCAGTACGTGTTGACGACGTTGTTGGGTACGCCGGTGGCGATGCACCGGATGTGCTCTCCGATGTACTGACGGCTGCACACAAGCGTGGTGCACGCCAGCAGCATGGCGAACGTCAGCCGGTAGTGGACGCGGAACGCCGGGTTGTCGATGATCACCAGCTTGATCCGACCCAGTCGGGATTGGCTGACGACCGTGCTGAACACGCCGATCATGGCGAGATTGGTCTACGAACGGAGTATGTCAGTCTGCCGAGCACAGACAACGCGAAAAATGTGAAACGTTCGACTACGCGGCCGCACGCAACGGCACGGGAGTAAAAAAATTAATGCACAAAACGCGCGTAGGCACTGTCGCACGCGTAACACTGCGGTCTACGACTGGCGCGCGCGAACCGACGACGCACACCGCACCGGTTCCAACGGTGGTGGCGGCGGCGGCGACGTCCCCCACCGCGCTCTGCCCCGGTGCGGATGGCGGCGGCTGTGGTCGCGGCGGCGATGCGTTTTTCGGGCGGCAGCGCACTCGTCTCGTCGGGTCGAGAGGCGCACGTGGTCCGGTCGTCAGTGGCGGCGGTGGCAACGTCGGTGGTGATGAGGGCGGGGGTGGTTACTGGTGGTTCTGGTGGTCTGCCTTGATTTCGGTGGTTCACGTCGTATGTGTCTTATATATTATTTTTATATCCCCAGAATACGTCTCATATTATTACCGAAACGTGATTTATTCTCCGAAATATTTCTCAAATTTTACCTATGAATGTTATGCTCGTATAGAAAAAGGTTTTTTTTTTACCGCTCTCGATAAAACATATCATTAATACGCATTTTGTGTACAATACGTTTTCTTTATCGTAGTGCATATTATACTGGATCTATCTGGTGTCCGCATTTTTACTTAAATATATAAATTGTACGTGGTTTTTATGCGTATGAAATATTGTTTTGTCTTGTCGTATCTCATCTTTGATAAAATGACAAATTCCGATAATATAAATACTTGGCCGTTTGCGTCGTATTTTGTATAGTATAGAAAAAAATTATCATCGAGCACTCATAATACCTGCCCACACATTGGGTATTTTTTGTAAGTACCTACATAAAATACAGTATTAGTCTAATATACTTATTTGAATGTTTTCATAATATTTTTTAGCATAATGCGGCAAATAATTAAAATCTTCCCTCAGCTGTTACATCATTTTGGAGGTATTCTCACACAAATGTTGGACAAGAATATTATTTATAATCGTGGAGTCTGGACAAGCACATTTTAGAGGGATATTCGAATCGGGAATACTACCCCTCGCAGGTTTCACCTACCGTGGGTTGTTGTTTTTAGGGGGCGTCCGTTATCGAGATGATGGGGTGTCTGGGTCGTCGGCTCGTATATACGGCCGCCGGAGGATCTAATGATAATATTATTTCGTCCTTTCACTCGTCGTTCTCGGCGACCAACCAGAGACGTCCAAACTTGGAATTCGTCTCGCTGCGTCGCATTGTCGCATAATAATATCAAAATAAGTTGTCGGGCCTCCCCCGCCGGACAAATGAGCGCCAGACGAATTACGACACGCATCGTCTGTCGTAGTGCGATATAATATAATTTGGTTATAGTGTTGTTGTTGTTGATGATGAACGGTGTTGTTGTTGTTATATTATTATTGTTATTACGACAATTATTTTTAATATTATTATACGTACCACCTAACTCTCGTGGGATGAAAGAGACGTGCGTAGTGCACACATGAAATATTATAATAAAAGAACCCATTAACACATGTGTGGTTCGTCGACTCGTGTAATATTATATCGTCGTCGTCGTCGTCGTCGTTGTCGATGTATAGATAAATAAAAACGTGGCTTAAATATTATTATTTTTGTCCGCGGTGTAGGCCTGCTGCACCGCCGACGCTTTGGTTTTCAAATTATAATATTTTACCTGCAGCAGGCGAGCCACTCGACGTATCTATATAAACCTATCTACATATTACAGCCATATGGGTACATATTATATCATAAACTTAGTTTATAGGTATATGGCATCAACGTTGGTCTTATTATAGTATACGTATATTTTATATGATGGATTTTATAAAATTCAATGACATGACGTTTGGGTTACTCGTCGCTCGTCGAATGTCGAGTACCAAATCGAGATAGCGATGGTCGGACGACTATTATACGTCGTATTGATATTATTACTGATTTGTCGTATTATTATTATTTGGATAGCACGACGTTATTATAAAAATATTACAACGTAGTCGACGTCGGGGGCTTTCTGATTTTGAAAACAAATTTCTGCGATTCCTCGTCGGATGTTATTAAGCAAACACTAATGTTCTAATTATTTATCAGCCACAAGTGTCTAATAGTATGAATTCATCTTACAAATCTTACGGAGTTAACAATTTTAAACCGTTATTAATTTTGGTTGATACATTTTAGTCGTTAAATAATTCAGTGCGTTAACTTTTTGATTACAAAAATTGGTGTGCATATAGTACCGTACATATATATCCACGTGTAGTCTATATAATATAATAATTATTATTAAATTTGGCTATTGGTATACTTGTAGTAGTTAGTTGTTATATTGTACACTATTATTACACTATATAAAAAGTATTTAATACAAAACGAAAGAAAAAAATGGCACCTACAAATACTAATAAATTGTTTAATCGTGTACAACTGTATGGGTTAATATTAATACACTTACTAGATAAACCGGTTTGTGGTATAATTAAACGATTTAATTTGAATCGTTGCATTCAGCTACACATAATATATTATTAAAAACAACATAATGCGTTCGTAAATAAGCAGAACCAACATCGTAGTGCATTCCGAATCGTCCTAAATAACAGTTTTATACCATAGCGGTAGTGTAATAATATGTGTGTTGTATACACAGTTTTTAGTTTTCCTTTAAACGATTAGTGTCCACAGACTCGACCAAGGACCAGTATCCTCTCTCATACCAAATATTTTTTAAACGTAATTTATTAGGCAATATCCACTGTAGGTTTAAAAAAAAATCAAATTAATAAACAATAATACACGGCGTCCAACATGATATTATAATAATATGCATCAGCTGCTTGTCAATACGTAAAAATAATTGTACAAGTTCCTCAAAAAAACAATATTTTAGCATTATTATTTTATACGTCTTCCCCTCATGGCTGACATTCTTTCAAAGTCGTTTCACCATTTTGTGGTCGCACTATACACCTAGGTATAGTACGACAGACCGTCCGGTCTACGGATTAAACTTTATGTACGGAATGTGGTCTCTCTCTCTCTGGGTTATGCTCACAGATAGTATACAACCATACAACGTCGTGTTTATAATATATCTGTGGTACAAAACGTATGATAACGAATACCTATGCTTCGCCGTGACCTGCATCGTGAATAATAACTTATAACGCCGTTTCGGAACGGTTCGTCCGATTCGGGTTGAAATATTTTTTTTTTTTTATAAGTTTTATCCTATTGCATTTACTAGGGCTGTGTACGATCGGTTTTAAACGGCAGACGTTTCGTTCACAATAGATTTAATACTATACGTACCACCGCGTGTACCTCGGCCTCGGCTGTTTCCCCTCACAAACTCCGACACAATAATAATATTACGTACGATGCATATATTATATATAGGTATGGGTTTTGTGTTATAAGGCCAGGTGCAATATCACGACATCCCCTCACTTCGTGTTTAAACCGGTCTACCCTTTTTTTTTTTTTTGTTCTCTCTGTCTCGATAATAATTGTTATTAACTTTTGTATTCCGAGCGCAGACGCGTGTCGGGACAATCATTTTTTTTTTTTACTTCTGTTATCCGTTAGCTGTAGACTGTAGTAGTTGTAGTAGTGTTCGAGCCATAGAGTATTATAACCCTATGGTTCGAGCACACTACAATAATAATATATTATAATGCCCGCGTAACGCATAGTGGCACGGTTGTGGGTCGTACGGTGGTATTGGATTTAAAAATATATTATATGAAATTGATAATCGATGATCCATGACTATGCCTAATATGTTTTATACTAAATTTTATACTATTGAACGCGCAGACTGTGCAAGAAAGAAATGTTATTGCCATTAATTACGTATAACATAATAATATGTGTAACCTTTCAAATTATAAACGATTTTTGGACAGCGTGAACGATAATATATTTAATCAAACGAGCCAGGCAAACAGAACGAAATTACGAACAATAAGTTCATACATATTATTATTATCTTCGTTTTAATATTATTATTGTATCAAACAATCACCGGGCCAAACAGTGTCCATACGATAAAGGACATATTATTATTATTATTATTAGATTATGATGTTTATAATACTATTATACTTAGGTACTATTAAAATTTTCAGTCTGATATTCTCGATTTTTATCGAATTTTGGCCTATCGGTAATGATCGTACATTCGTATCGTCCGATCGGCGACTAAATATAATATTTCGATTTATATTTCTCAGCCGGTCACATACTCACAGTCAAGTACTGCAAGCATATTTACGATTAATAATTTTATTCACGCTGCACGTTATTGGCGATTGAAAGTGATATGATGTGACGTTGTGTATCATTCATATTATGTTATTTTACTAGTTCCCCGTTACAGATCCATCCCCCGCCAGCCTGATAATTGATAAGCTTTTAATAGCCCATATATTAATAAATAATAATTAACATAATATCATATACAGTGATAATAATATTACTATTTACTATATTACAGAGGGGAAGTGAAATATTTTTTGAATGACCTATATAACCCTTTGCCTATATCTAATATAATACTTATTGTTGAAGCTATTATTCTTATTGAATATCATATTCATATGAAGTTAGTCTTGCACTACAATTTGTCACTAAATCCACCACTCACCCACCCGGCACCCACCAACCGAAAGTATAGAGGAAATACGTCACTTGTACTTTTGTAGATTTTTGATTTTTCATCGTCGAAGTACAAAATTTGAAGAAAGGTCGGCCGACGAGCGACTTGATATTTTAAATTTTTTTGTAAGCGACATAATACTATCGTCGCAGTTATATCTGCGATCGTCGTGAAAGTAGCGATCGGATCAAACTGCCGGATACATCTGTACAATTAATATAATATTAAAATGTATATAGTCTCGCGTCTATAATTACAACGGTTGAAACGTATGTACAGTTTAATCGAA